AAGAGTTTATGAGAGCTTAAAGAAAAGGATGCAATGAAATTGTCTATATATTGAAAACTTAACTGCAAAAGAAATAATCTAATATGGAATGAGTGAGGTTTCTATTATTCTTGTTGGAAATCCACCTTTTCTGGAGGAATGGCCTTAGATAGAGCTGGGAACTAGATTATTGCCTCATAAAACAGCATGAGGTTACTGTTATTCCTTAATTTTATATCTTTATTATGAGGTAATACTTCTCTTACTTGATTTGAAGAGTGTTCTTGTCCTTTTCTCATATATTTGTGAAAACTAAATGGTGGAGGATTTAGCATAACAACCATTGGTAGATTATGATGTAAAATAATACTGTGTTTGCAATTAGCCTAGGTAGTTTTACTTGGTTCAGTAATATAAAATCACTAGGCTCATAATATTTTAGTACCTTAGTGTGTTTGGCAAAGAAAGAAATTCATGTTACCATAAAAAGTCAAGCTAAGTAACAATTAATCTAAATTTCAAGGAAACATAAAGCAAAGTATTATGTTGTAACATGGAACATTGATGCAAATAACTCTCCAACAGTTCATGAAATAGATTCTGAACTGGTTATTAGCAAATAAAGGAAAGTTTTGGCTTAATTCTCTTATGCTCCAGTACCTTCCCTGAAGTCTTAATTTCACTTGAGTTAGCAACAGTGCCCTGAGATGGTGGTCCTTTTAGAAAATTGTCACTTCTTTCCTGATGATGAGTCTCCTTAATTTAATTTTATATATACTTTCTGGAAATATTACATGTATATCGTGATCACACCTTAAAAATATTTTTAGTGTGATAATTGTACACATGTGTTGTGGGTAGATTGTGTCCCCTAAAAGATATGTTTAAGTCCTAAACCCTCTACCTGTGGATGTGACCTTATTTGGAAATAGGGTCTTTGCTGGTGCAATCAAGTTAAGATGAGATTTTACTGGATTACGTTGGATGCTAATCCAGTGACTGATGTACTTAATAGAAGAGGAAAATTTGGACACAGAGACATACACACACATAGAAGAAAGCCACATGAAGAGAATACCATGTGACGATGAAGGCAGAGATTAAAGTGATGCACCTACAAGCCAAGGATTGCTGGCATCCACCAGAGTCCAGGAAGACAGAAAGGAGGATTCTTTAGAGGGAGCATAGACCTTCCAACACCTTGATTTAGAATTTCTAGCCTCCAGAACTGTGAGAACAAATTTCTCTTGTTCTAAGCCACCTAGTTTGTGGTATATTTTACAGGAGTCTTAGGAAACTAATACAACATACAGTGTTATAAGTAAACAGTAGTTTTAATTAGTATCAATAATAATTTTAAGTATATTTTATTATTAGGTCAAGTGAGCAAGAAATTACCTGGTAGACTCGTTCTCAATATTAAATTTTATGAAAAGTTAAAATAGTCCAGTTTAGCAAATAATGCTTCTCTAAAAGTTTCTATTTTTGTTGTCCTAAATCAAAGTGAAAATTAGAATGGAGCCAATTATGTACCTGAAAATGTGGGATAAAACAGATTTTTCCTAAAATAGTCATATGTTTGAGACAGTATTTTCAAAACTTAAATTATTTCTCTGTTTATTCCAATTTTTTCATTTACACCATAAGATATACTCTGCACATTTTCATCTGTCATTAATTATCTGCTTTATTCAACCAATATTTATTAAACACTTAAAATGTGCTAGACACTGAGCGAGGTGCGGTAGATAACTTTAGTAAATAATACAAAAATTGTTTTCCCTCAAAGAGGTTACTCTGACTTTGAAATTTAATCTGCAGAAGAAGTGACAGAGGCCACTTGCAGAAAGAATCTACTCAGAAAATCCATTTTCAGTATGTGCTGTAGCTTTATCTGTTTCTACAAATAAAATGTAAAACCATTTTAGCATCATTTGGTTTTACTTACTCTGTGCTACTGTATTATAGTGGAAAAAAATAAAATTTTACTTACTGCACAGGTAACTAAATCAATAATAATGTAGGTATATGAAACCAAAAATATAACTGTTTATCAAATTATTTGTATTTTTTAATGTTTCGTACTAATCGGTATCCAAATGCATGCTTAGTTGTACATTAGTGTTAGCATAGCTAAATTTTTATGTTCTGATTTTCACTTAATACACAATCAACAGTTTTCACTTTTCCATGCTATTTTTATAATTACTCCTTTGATCATTACATTATTAATATATTAAATTGATTTATCATAATTTGTTTAATCAATCCACTACAAATATGAAGCTGTTTCTAGTTTATATTATCATGAATAAAACCCTGTGGCTTTTTGGTAGAAAATTTATTCCTTAAGAAAGTCAATACCATATAAAAGAATTTAAACATATTTATTTATAGTTTTTAAAGTGCAGTGACAGATTATGCTCTAAAAGTATTAGAAAACTTGATATTGTTACCAGCAAATGACTGAGGACACCATTTTCACTGTATTCTTTCTGACATTGGGTATTATCAATATTTAAATATTGATAATATTTAAGTTGAATATGTATACAACAATCCAAAATGTAGAATTATTGCTTTAATTTACATATTTCAATAACTATGAGAGTAAATACTTTTTCATGTTTGTTTATTATTTACACTTTCTCATAATGAATTATGTTCTCTTGTTCTTACCTAATCATTCAATGGGCCCTTAAACTTTTCCTAACCAATTTCTATGTTCTGAATACATATAGTCATATTTATAAAAATACTGAAGATATTTTCCGTAATCTGTTGTATCCTTTTACTTTTCGAGCTTTTTTTCTACATTCAGAAATACAAAAGTTTTGTTTTGTGGTTTCGTGTAGCTGAATCAGTTAGTTGTCCCTTCCCTTTGTAATCTGGTACAGTATTTTTACCACTTATTTTATCTGTTTATCTAATAGAATAAGAACAAACATCAGGCTGGGCGCAGTGGTTCACACCTGTAATCCCAGAACTTCTCCCTGCCTGAGCAGGGAGAATCACTTAATCCCAGGAGCTAGAGGTTGCAGTGAGCTATGATGAAGCTACTGTACTTCAGCCTGCATGACAGAAAGAGACCTTGTCTCAGGAAAAAAAAAAAAGAAACATCAGATTCTTCCTTTCTTCTTCCCTTTAATAGAGCACTCGTCCCCTTTGTTATCCAGATAGTGAGGAGGGGCTGGCTATAAAGGAGGTGATCAGGCCTACTTGAGGTGGGCCGTAGGCAGTCTCAGGCAGGTCATCATAGGTTGGACTAGTGGCCAGCACTTACTGTGGTGTGCGTTGTATCCAAGGTGAACCTGAGCCAGAGTGGTGCTGGTCACCAGGCCTGCGAGCAGTGCACAGGACCAGGGATCAGGGGGTCTGCTGGGAAAGGAGGGCCAAGCAAGGGATCAACACAAATCAGGACCAGGGTGACAGACCCAGATTTGGGAGGGAACCAGTCCATCAGGAGGAGAAGAGGGAGATTGGGAGGAGGAAGATGGACATATGAACTAATGGCAAAAACTGGACTTTTTCTGGTCCCCATGTCTCAGCCCCTACCCCCTCCCCTGCCCCAACACAAAAACAACACCTTTATATCTAGAACTCCCTGCCCACTTATCTTCCTGAATCCAAATGTGTACTGTGACAGCTTTTACTATGCTGAATAACCCGCCCTATATTCAAGACCCACCCCCACCCCCATTCCATATGCACTTTAGAATTGTACTTTTCTTCAAAATGCTACTTTTCTAATTCCGGAGTATTTTTAATCAGTATCTCACTGAGATTGTCACATTACCTACGTATAAGTTACCATTGCCATTTTCCGACTTAACTCCTAAGATGGAAAAAAACACCCTTGGTCTGTGTTTCCATGTTTGTTTATGCATAAAACATTTTACAATTTACATTTTAAATTTCCCTTGTATTATAATTTTCAAAACATCTTGTATTCTAATAAGGAAAGTAACAGGTTTATGGTAGAAAGAAAATACTTGAAAGTATAAAAGAAAGGAAATTCAGGCCATGTCTACCTGGTTGTAATAGGGAATATGTGAATGGATATATATAAAAGTGAGCAAAGCGCCTGCATTATTGAATATTCAGTAAACTGAATTGGTAATCAGTTGTTTCTACAGATTGGAATACTTTGTTTGTGCAGGTATTTTTTCTAGATTTTCATGTACCTTTTAATTTTGATTATGTGTATGTGAGAATTCAGATGTTTAGCCTTTTTGTGTTGTCTTCTATTGCTACTATGATTAAATCCTTCTCTGGGAATTAAAAAATAAATGCCTATTTTTCTAAGAGTTTTCTTTCAAACTTTAATTTGCCTGGAAAAATTTTCAATATATGGAGTAAAGATTAACTTTTTTAAATAGTTAACCAATTATCTCACCATAGTTTATTGATCAATTGGCCTTCCCTTTATTTGTAATACCTTCCTTAACATAATAGTCTTATTTTTACTTTTTAAAAGAATTGGTCATGTATTTTATAAAATTGTGTTCTTTAGAAGTGAAGAATGATCATCTGGTAATTCAGACAAACTTTCCTGTAAGAGAAAACTATCATATTATAGTACACACTGAATTTTCTCAAATTATTTTAAGTACTTTTGAAAGTGAATGTTTAATTCACCCTCTTAATTTTTAACCTATCAGTTGCTTAATGGCAGACCTGTCTCAGCAAAATGGTATAATAAACTACTTGTTTATTAATTGTTATTGGTATATAAACTAATTGTTTACTGCAGACTGTGTCTCCAAAGCTGTCTTCAGATATTTTTGTTTGTTTCCAGGATTCATAAGTAGCTGTTTACCACAATACTATTTTCTCAATCAATGTTACCACAATACTATTTTTGAGATCATTAATTATATTGGATATGCAAACAATATTAGTGGATTTTGTTCTTTAAAAAATACTCTATAAATTGCTGACTAATATGTTTTGGTAATTCTACAAATGAACAAAATATATAACCTTTTCTTTTTTCACTTGTTTCCATCTTTTCATTTTAGATAGTCATTTTTAATTGAAGAAAGCTGCTTCTACTGGAAGTGGCAGGAGAAGTGAGAAAACCACATGGAAGACTCCCAGGATTTAAATGAACAATCAGTAAGTCTTAATTCAGTCTCAGATTTGCTGAAAAAAGTTCTAGTAACACTACTCGAAATCATACTTAAAAGGAATATGTTGTAAGACATAAATTTTTTATTAAATATATTTGCTAGATGCTTTTTGAATTCTCTTTCAAGGCCATGAAACAGACCTTTTGGAGATTTTATGCTGTTTCTGCTTAATACTGATGTCACATGTTGGTGTCTCCCTTGATTCTCTGCTTGGAAAGCCGGTAGTAAAAAAGCTAAGGTGGTTAGACAGTCTAAACAACTTTATACACCTCCTTTATCATGTTTTGTTTCAGATACACGGGCTAGTTCGTATTTTGTTGGATATCAGATGCATAAAAGGAGAAAGTATATTGTTGGCATGCGTATTCCTCATTTCAAGGATAGAAAGAATCACCGTTCTCAAGGGCTTTTCTTATTTTGTTTGGTTCCTTGCAGGACCAAGATTGCACCAGATTGGTAACAATCCTTATAAGATTCTGATTTCCCACGAGGAAGGTCTTTGTATGTGTGGCCGTTCCTCCTAGCTCATTAGTAGTGTCTCCATGACACTAAGTTTAGTGTGTGGAACTAGAGGCATTGGGGGGGGGGACTTCTCACACATCCTGATACCACTGGAAACTGTTGCCCCAGCTCTTCTGCACACAGATAACTAGTGATGTCACGAGTAAGAAGATGTGTACGTGCCAAGAGTGTATTCTGCAGACTGATGCTGTCCTTTATTAGCTTGTACGATCATCACTTATCTTAGAGTCTAATGTCTCCATCTGGCAACTGAGGAAAAGACCCTTGTGTATAATAATGTGGTTCTAGAAAAGGCATATATGATGAGTTTAATTTTAAAATAATGAGGGATGTATGTTCTGGTGCCATTTGAAATTAATTTAATTTGTTTTCTAGTGGATGTTGTATTGAAAAGAAATGGTAAGCATGTCTTTAATTTTGGTAGACATGACCATAATCTAACTTTATTATATCTTGTAGTATTATTTATTTCACATGGCATCATTACCAGAAAAAGGGAACAAAAACTTACAATGCTAAATAACTATGAAATCTGTCAAATGGTAGAGATGTTATTCCTCAACAAATGTGTGATTTTTTTTTCCTCCCAAAAATGGCAATTGGGAGCCAAGGGCTTTAAAACAATTTTTAAAAATGTTGGTTATTGTATTTAAATATTCATAGCATGGACTCCAGCAAAATGGATGATAGCTATCATGACTGCTGTCTCTCTTACCCATGCCATTGCATGTTCACGAATCCCTCTGGAATCAGAGGTCTGTTAGTTGACCATGTACCTGAATGGCCAACAGTGAATGATGACTTCATTTTAACAGTGGTGCTTCATGGGAGAAGTACTGTTGTTGATCGTTACCTTGTTCTGATATACCAAGGGTTATGTAAGAGTATGTGTGTATGTATGTTACAGTGACCAATTGTCCCTGTTTTCTATAGACTGAGGTTTTCTGGGGACATGGAACTTTCTGATGCTAAAAGCAGGCTGTGTCCCAGTAAACTAGGATGGTTGATTCTGTTAATTACTCTCAGGTGTTTATATACTCAAGAAAGAATTTTTGCTTTCAATGCAATTGAGATTAAAAAGAATATATTTTTATATTTAACATTAGAGTGAGGTATTACCCAAGACACTTCATATCACCTTTCACAAAGTGAAGCTCAGAACTTGTAAACCATATATGGTGTCCTTCTAGTGATATTTTACGGTCATGGAGCTCATGATTTTAAAAAATATACATATGATGTTAGTGTGCAGCTAGGTTTGAGAACCAGAATCTAGGGTGACTTTCCTAGTCTCTCAGCTTAAATCCATTTACCGAATTTTTATTTAGAACATGTAGGCTGCTCTGTTCATCTCATTACAACTGTTAAATGACTTGCCCACGTTGGCATGGCTGGTCAGTGGCAGAGTTGGGACTTCACACAGGTCTTCTGACTCCAAGTCCAAAGCTCTCTCCATAACATCAACATGCCTGATCACTTCTGGGTTATTCTTATTGTGGCATTCATCGCTACAGAAATGACAAAAGCATGAGAATCAATCCCTTTATATCGCAATGATTTCTGTTTCAATGAAATCTTTAAATGACTTTAAATTTTGCAGAATATATTAATGTCAGAAAACGTTTTGAAAAATGATATTTTATAGCATTTATTAAGATATAGAAAAAGTAGGGGTGGAATTAAAATAAAGTTCATAGTAAGATGAAAAGGAATTTGCTCAGATTCTTTGAGCCTAGACACAACAGTAGGTACCATTCATGGCACATACACACTGCATCTAGCATTTTCCATTTACTTTCTCCAAACCTTACCATATTCTCACAGTGTGATTTTTAAGGCTACCATTTTACAGATGAGGAAACTACGGCTTAGAGAATGTAAAGATCAAATAGCTGTTAAGTAGCAGAGATTAGAATTAAAGGCATTTTTATCTGGCCCTAAAACCTGTAATGGATTTTGCATGATACAACATATATGGTAGTTAAGGGCTTGAGCTGTAAGATCAGACATTCCTGACACTTAAATACTTTGTAACCACTGAGCAATTACTTAAACTCCTCCTCCTCTATAGAGTGGGGAGGGTAATAAAAAGATGTTATATGAAGTGCTTACACATGCCTCACTTAGAGTAAACACTCAGTCAATGTTAGCTACTGTTACAAATACTTGGGATATTCGGATGCCCTTCAATGAGTGTTTGTTCATACTGTCACATCTAGCTACCTTCTGGAAATCCTTGCCTGGCGGTTCATAGGTCCACAAACTCAGCAACTGAAAACTAAACTCACCAGCTCTCCCCTCTCCCAGTTTTTCTCCCTTTCTTTTCGGCTCTCGTATTACCCATCACCAGCTACTGAGTAGGTTACGCCATTAAACAGGTAGGCATTCTCTCCCTCAACCCCCATCTCAATGTTTTGTTCACTCTTAATTTTTAATATGTCTCAAAACTGTTCTCTTTGTTCTAGCTCCCTTAGTTTGGATCTTTATTTTCTCTCCTGTCTTGTTCTGCTTTAAGTTGCCTCTAGAGTTGTCTTTCTAAAACACCCCTGATGACATCACCTTTCTTGCCCTCAGGTGAGAGGCTCAAATGTGGAGTCAGGCACACAAGGCTTAATGCTTACTTATGTCTTCAGTCTTATTTCTGGTTTCTGTCAGTTCCCTGCATCATCTGCGATCTTGGGTTTCCATGCGTTTTGTAAGTACTATAGCCTCTTCCCAGATGCATCTTCTTCCCTACCAGGATAACCTGCAATTCTTGAAGATTCAATTTAGGTTTTGCTCTGAGCAACTCCTCAGACTGACTGCTTTCTTCTCCTCATCAGCTGTGCTGAGTCAGCCACTCCAGGTCAGGGGCCTCTGCAGTGTGCTGCTGTAGACCTTTGGCATTTACCTCTAACCCAGCACTTACCTCACACAGCTGAAACCTTATCTGTTTACTTGCCTGTCTCTCCACTAGATTATAAAGTACTTAAGAGGAATGGTGGGGCTTGTTCATCTTGTATGCTTACTTAGCGCAATTCTTACCGATGTTCAATAAGTGTTTTCTTCAAAAGTTTTATATACTTTTAGTGAGGAATGTTAACAAATAGCTTAACAAATTTTAGAAAACCAAAATTATAATTGATTTGTTAAAACTTTTTAAAAAGTGTATAGTATTTTTATTTTTTAATAAAGATGAGATGAATATGCATTTCTCTTCAATCTCTTGTTTTTTACACATCACATCATGGGCTTTCCCCTCACATAATTGCATATAGCTCCATTGTATTACTTGTAATTACTCCATACCTCCACAATATTTAGGAGTTTAGGGGATTATACTATGCTCAATATATGCAATATATTACTCTCAGAGTAATATATTACTCTCATAATATATTACTCTCATAATTTACTGACTCATGAATTCATAGTTGACTCAAATTTTAAAAAAATTGCATATAAGATATAACACTAGCTTAACTGCATATGATCAAAATAAAGTTTTATCTTATTTTATTTTATTATTTTTGCATTATATCTGGCTTTTATTTTGCAGTCTGGCTTAGAGGTCTACAGGATTTTAAGACATAAACAAAGATATGATTTAACTTTCACAAATCTTTCTAAAATTCTGTATTAAAGCTTCATAATTATTTAGGAGCAGTTTAAGTTATAGCTAATTATAGCTTACTATACTTTTTAACTAAATGTTGTTCTTGTTAATAGAAATGGCTATGAATCTAGGTTATCCATAGCAATGTCTCCCTTGATACTGCAAAATGTGTTATATTTTCTGTATTCAAATAAAGGATGAGCAGTATTTATTATTTTTATACCTTTTGTAATATACTTACAGATTGAGGTGTTTTAAAGTCCCATTTTGGTGGTGTTGAATATTACTAGATTTTTTTTCTCTTCTAAAACATTCATATTGAAGTGAGATGGAGTCTGGCCTAAATTAATTATCAAGCTGAAAGGTTTGAAAAGAAATATGGTTTATTAAAGTATTATATGTTATAAAATAAAACATTAGTGAATACTAAATAAAACAAAGTAAAATGAGTAAGTTACAGTTCACACTAGGATCACATTCTCTAAATATTATACATTAAGGACCTGAATATTCCTACACTGTTACTAAATCAATTTGCTTATATTATTGGTGGCATGTTTCCATTAGTGAGGTCTAAATTGATTCTAATTGGATCCATATTACATATTATATGTTCCAGTAATAGTTTTGGAAATCCACATACATTTGTAGATATGAATTATATTTATTTGCTTGCACCAAACATGCTAAATTTAATGTCTATCAAAAATCTAGAGCTAATATGATAAATGAATTTCTTTTTTATCTGTCTGTTGTTCTCCTTTAGAATATTTCATGACTTTTGATTATTCCTCAGCTCTTTGTTCTTAGAGATTCTATAGTATAGCTTTGGTTATAGCCACTAACCCATCTTTAAAACCTGTGCACTA